GTGTGTATAAATATATACATATATATGTATATATATGTACATATATACAGTTATTATGTCGATATAGATAACCAAAAATAAAATATGGATTCAGCGGCACCGATATCGATTCTGACACAAAGGCAAGGACAGATGTGGGTCTAGATGCAAACACAGAATAAACAGAGGGCTTGGCAGACTGATCGACAGACAGACGAACGGAGAAGAAAAGTGAGGCGCGGGAAGCGTAAAGTGATTTCGAAAATACTTTTGCGCAACGTCCAAGAGACACGTCAATTTTCCCTTAACAAGAACCAAGGCATTGTTAAGAAAGTCGAAACAGAAATAAACAAGCGAAGTTTTTTATGGCGCGTTTCTTCCGAAGCGAATGGATAAAATTTTTTTTTGTTAAAAAGTAGGAGAAAAATGAGAAGGAGGAGAGGGGAAAACAGGTTAACTTCATAGAGTATATTCAGCGCTGACGGAGGATATAGAACAGAATGTCTGTCTCTATATGTAGGTATATATATCCATACATACATACGTGACAACCGATATATAAAAATGTTGAAAAACAAATGAAGAGGAAAAATACTGTCGCCGTGCCGTCTCTTCGTTATGTCCTGGGCGTACATCCCCCTCCTCTTCCCTATCCCTGCCCCCCCCCCCTGTCCTTCGCGAGAAACAAGTCCATCCCACGCACCTATTTACCCCCGCGTATTCCCATCTCTTAGGCGAAGGGCGAGGTCACCCTAGGTCATCCCACCACCCGCCATCACCTCTTGTCAGGAACAAGGTCGTCACATCCCGCCCCCTTACTTCTACCTCGATAATCAAGGTCACCCAACGTACCTATTCTCCCCCCCCCACACACCTTCACCCGCACAACCCACGCATCACTTCGCAAGTTACAAAATCACCTCACTCAACCCCACCCCCCTTCCGAGACAAACAAGGCCGTCCCACTCACCCCTCCCCCCCTCCCCACCCTCACCCCGTCCTACGGAGACCAATCGTCCTTCGATTACACGCTTCACTGAACATATATATAATCTCAATTCACGTAGTAGTTGTGGCAGCAGCAGCAGCGCGGTAGTAGTAGTAATGATAATAGTAGTAGTAGTAGTAGTAGAGTAGTAGTAAGTAGTAGTAATAATAATAATAGGCATAGTAGTATAGTAATACTACTCTTGTCTATCATCTCACCATCTCTATCATCTAATGTCTATCTGTCACCATCTGTCTAATTAAATCTTCTATCATCTCACCATCTACTTAAATCTGTCTATCATCTCACCACCATCTAATTAAATCTATCATCTCACCACTCTGTCTACTTAAATCTGTCTATCATCTCACCACTCTGTCTATGCATGCTAAATTAGAATCTGTCTATCATCTCACCACTCTGTCTAAATTAAATCTGTCCTATCATCTCACCACTCTGTCTAAAATCTGTCTATCATCTCACCACTCTAATTAAATCTGTCTATCATCTCACCACTCTATCTAAGTAAATCTGTCTATCTCATCATCTGTCTATCACCACTCTCTATAAATCTGTCTATCATTCACACTCTGTCTAATTAAATCTGTCTATCATCTCACCACTCTGTCTTATTATCTGTCTATCATCTCACCACTGTCTAATTAAATCTGTCTATCATTCACCCATCTGTCTATTTAATCTGTCTATCATCTCACCACTCTAATTAAATCTGTCTATCATCTCACCACTCTGTCTAATTTAATCTGTCTATCATCTCACCACTGTCTAATTAAATCTGTCTGTCATCTCACACCACTCTGTCTAATTAAATCTGTCTATCATCTACCACTCTGTCTACTTAAATCTGTCTATCATCTCACCACTCTGTCTAATTAAATCTGTCCTATCATCTCACCACTCTGTCTAATTAAATCTGTCTAATCGTCTATCTCACCACTCTAATTAAATCTGTCTGTCATCTCACCCTCTGTCTAATTTAATCTGTCTATCATCTCACCACTCTGTCTATTTAAATCTGGCTATCATCTCACCACTCTGTCTAATTAAAATCTGTCTATCATCTCACCAACTCTGTCTAATTTAAATCTGTCTGTCATCTCACCACACTGCTAATTAAATCTGTCTGTCATCTCACCCACTCTGTCTAATTAAATCTGTCTGTCATCTCACCACTCTGTCTAATTAAATCTGTCTATCATCTCACCACTCTGTCTACTTAAATCTGTCTGTCATCTCACCACTCTGTCTAATTAAATCTGTCTATCACTCACCACTCTGTCTAATTAAATCTGTCTATCATCTCACCACCTCTGTCTAAATTAAATCTGTCATCATCTCACCACGTCTAATTAAACTCTGTCTATCATCTCACCCACTCTGTCTACTTAAACTCATCTCACCACTCTTCTAATTAATCTGTCTATCATCTCACTCTGTCTAACTTAAATCTGTCTGTCATCTCTGTCTAATTAAACATCTCACCACTCTGTCTAATTAAATCTGTCTGTCATCTCAACCACTCTGTCTAATTAAATCTGGTCTATCTCATCTCACCACTCTGTCTACTAATAAATCTGTCTATCATCTCACCAACTCTGCTAATTAAATCTGTCTATCATCTCACCACTCTGTCTAATTAAATTGTCTATCATCTCACCACTCTGTCTAATTAAATCTGTCTATCATCTCACACTCTGTCTAATTAAATCTGTCTATCATCTCACCACTCTGTCTAATTAAATCTGTTGTCATCTCACCACTCTGTCTAATTAAATCTGTCTATCAATCTCACCACTCTGTCTATTAAATCTGTCTATCCTCACCACCTGTCTAATTAATCTGTCTATCATCTCACCACTCTGTCCTAATTAAATCTGTTCTGTCATCTCACCACTCTGTCTAATTAAATCTGTCTGTCATCTCACACTCTGTCTAATTAAATCTCATCTCACTCTGTCACTATCATCTACCACTCTTCTATTAAATCTGTCATCTCACCACTCTGTCTAATTAATCTGTCTGTCATCTCACCACTCTGTCTAATTAAATCTGTCTATCATCTCACCACTCTGTCTAATTAAATCTGTCTGTCATCTCACCACTCTGTCTAAATCTGTCTGTCTAAATCTGTCTATCATCTCACTCTAATTAAATCTGTCTATCATCTCACCACTGTCTACTTAAATCTGTCTTCATCTCACCACTCTGTCTAATTAAATCTGTCTTCATCTCACCACTGTCTAATTAAATCTGTCTATCATCTCACCACTCTCATTAAATCTGTCTATCATCTCACCTCTAATTAAATGTCTATCATCTCACATCTCATTAAATCTGTCTATCATCTCACCCTCTAATTAAATCTGTCCTATCATCTCACCACTCGGTCTACTTAAATCTGTCTATCAATCTCACCATCTAATTAAATCTGTCTATCATCTCACCACTCTAATTAAATCTGTCTATCATCTCCACTCTAATTAAATCTGTCTATCATCTCACCACTCTGTCTACTTAATCTGTCTGTCATCTCACCACTCTGTCTAATTAAATCTGTCTATCATCTCACCAACTCGGTCTACTTAAATCTGTCTATCATCTCACCACTCTGTCTAATTAAATCTGTCTATCATCTCACCACTCTAATTAAATGTCTAATCATCTCACCACTCTAATTAAATCTGTCTATCATCTCACCCTCTAATTAAAATCTGTCCTATCATCTCACCACTTCTAATTAAATCTGTCTATCATCTCACCACTCTAATTAAATCTGTCTATCAATCTCAGTCTCTAATTTAATCTGTCTATCATCTCACCACTCTAATTAAATCTGTTATCATCTCACCACTCTAATTAAATGTCTATCATCTCACCACTCTAATTAAATCTGTCTATCATCTCACCACTCGGTCTACTTAAATCTGTCTGTCTAATTAATCTGTCTATCATCTCACCACTCTAATTAAATGTCTATCATCTCACACTCTAATTAAATCTGTCTATCATCTCACCACTCTAATTAAATCTGTCTATCATCTCACCACTCTAATTAATCTGTCTATCATCTCACCACTCTAATTAAATGTCTATCATCTCACCACTCTAATTAAATCTGTCTATCATCTCACACTCTAAATTAAATGTCTATCATCTCACCACTCTATTAAATCTGTCTTCATCTCACCACTCTAATTAAATCTGTCTATCATCTCACCACTCGTCTAATTAAATCTGTCTATCATCTCACCACTCTGTCTAATTAAATCTTCTATCATCTCACCACTCTAATTAAATGTCTATCATCTCACCACTCTTAATTAAATCTGTCTGGTCACCACTCTAATTAAATCTGTCTTATCATCTCACCACTCTAATTAATGTCTATCATCTCACACTCTAATTAAATCTGTCTATCATCTCACCACTCTAATTAAATGTCTATCATCTCACACCTAATTAAATCTGTCTATCATCTCACCACTCTAATTAAATGTCTATCATCTCACCACTCTAATTAAATCTATTCCTCCCTAATTAAAATCTGTCTATCATCTCACCACTCGGTCTTACTTAAATCTGTCTATTCATCTCACCACTCTGTCTAATTAAATCTGTCTATCATCTCACACTCTGTCTACTTAAATCTGTCTATCATCTCACCACTCTATTAAATCTGTCTATCATCTCACCAACTCTAATTAAATCTTCACCACTCTGTCTCTTCTTCTATTAATCTGTCTATCTCTCATCATATCATCTCACCACTCTGCTGTCAATTCATCTCACCACTCTGTCTTAAATCTGTCTATCATCTCACCACTCTGTCTACTTAAATTCTGTCTATCATCTCACCACTCTGTCTAATTAAATCTGTCTATCATCTCACCACTCTGTCTAATCTGTCTATCATTCTCACACCTGTCTATTAAATCTGTCCTATCATCTCACCACTCTGTCTACTTAAATCTGTCTATCATCTCACACTCTGTCTAATTAAATCTGTCTATCATCTCACCACTCTGTCTAATTAAATCTGTCTATCATCTCACGCACTCTTGTCTGTCTATCATCTCACCACTCTGTCTACTTTAAATCTGTCTATCATCTCACCACTCTGTCTAATTTAAATCTGTCTATCATCTCACCATCTAATTAAATCTGTCTATCATCTCACCACTCTGTCTAATTAAATCTGTCTATCAATCTCACCACTCTGTCTACTTAAATCTGTCTATCATCTCACCACTCTGTCTACTTAAATCTTGCTCATATCACCACTCTCTAATTAAATCTTGTCTATCATCTCACCACTCTACTTAAATCTGTCTATCATCTCACCACTCTAAAAATCTGTCTATCATCTCACCACTCTTAAATCTGTCTATATCTCATCTCTATCACTCACACTCTAATTAAATCTGTCTATCATCTCTCATCATCATCTCACCATCTGTCTATCAATCTCACTCTATTAAATCTGTCTATCATCTATCACCACTCTAATTAAATCTGTCTATCATCTCACCACTCTGTCTAATTAAATCTGTCTATCATCTCACCCACTCTAATTAAATCTGTCTATCATCTCACCACTCTGTCTACTTTAAATCTGTTATCATCTTCACCACTCTGTCTAATTAAATCTGTCTATCATCTCACCACTCTGTCAATTAATCTGTCTATCATCTCACCACTCTTGTCTACTTAAATCTGTCTCACCATCTACTTAAATCTCAGCTAAAATGTCTATCATCTCACCACTCTGTCTACTTAAATCTGTCTATCATCTCACCACTCTAATTAAATCTGTCTATCATCTCACACTCTAATTAAATCTGTCTATCATCTCACCACCTAATTAAATCTGTCTATCATCTCACCACTCTAATTAAATCTGTCTATCATCTCACCACTCTAATTAAATCTGTCTATCATCTCACCACTCTAATTAAATTGTCTATCATCTCACCACTGTCTAACTTAATCTGTCTATCATCTCACCACTCTAATTAAATCTGTCTATCATCTCACATCTCTATTAAATCTGTCTATCATCTCACCACTCTGTCAATTAAATCTGTCTATCATCTCACCACTCTGTCTAATTAAAATCTGTCTATCATCTCACCACTCTGTCTCTTAAATCTGTCTATCATCTCACCATCTGTCTACTTAAATCTGTCTATCATCTCACCACTCTAATTAAATGTCTATCATCTCTCAACACTCTGTCTACCTTTAAATCTGTCTATCATCTCACCCTCTAATTAATCTGTCTATCATCTCACCACTCCTAATTAAATCTGTCTATCATCTCACCACTCTAATTAAATCTGTCTATCATCTCACCACTCTAATTAAATCTGTCAATCATCTCACCACTCTTAATTTAAATCTGTCTAATTAAATCTCATCTCACCATCTACTGTCTGTCTAATTAAAATCTGTCTATCATCTCACCCACTCTAATTAATCTGTCTATCATCTCACCACTCTATTAAATCTGTCTAATCATCTCACCAATTAAATCTGTTCTATCATCTCACCACTCTAATTAAATCTGTCTATCATCTCACCACTCTAATCTAATCTGTCTATCATCTCTCACCACTCTGTCTCTTAAACTATATCTCAACACTCCTACTAAATCTGTCTACTTAAATCTGTCTATCATCTCACCACTGTCTAATTAAATCTGTCTAATTAAATCTGTCTGTCATCTTCACCACTCTGTCTCCTCTAATTAAATCTGTCTCTGTCTATCATCTCACCACTTCTGTCTGATTAAATCTGTCTATCATCTCACCATCTAATTAAATCTGTCTATTCATCTCACCAATTAAATCTGTCTGTCATCTCACCACTCTGTCTACTTAAATCTGTCTATCATCTCACCACTCTGTCTAATTAAATCTGTCTATCATCTCACCATCTAAAATCTGTCTATCATCTCACCACTCTGTCTAATTAAATCTGTCTATCATCTCACCACTCTGTCTACTTAAATCTGTCTATCATCTCACCACTCGGTCTAATTAAATCTGTCTGTCAATCTCACCATCTGTCTAAATCTCACCACTCTGTCTAATTAAATCTGTCTGTCATCCTCACCACTCTGTCTACTTAAATCTGTCTATCATCTCACCACTCGGTCTGTTCAATCATCACCACTCTGTCTAATTAATCTGTCTGTCATCTCACCACTCTGTCTATTAAATCTGTCTGTCCTCACCACTCTGTCTACTTAAATCTGTCTATCATCTCACACTCTGTCTCTCATCTATCTAATTCATCTGTCTATCATCTCACCACTCTGTCTCTTAAATCTGTCTATCATCTCACCACTCTGTCTATTAAATCTGTCTATCATCTCACCACTCTAATTAAATCTGTCTATCATCTCACCACTCTAATTAAATCTGTCTATCATCTCACCACTCCTTAAATCTGTCTATCATCTCACCACTCTAATTAAATCTGTCTATCATCTCAACCATCTACTTAAATCTGTCTATCATCTCACCACTCTGTCTCTTAAATCTGTCTATCATCTCACCACTCTGTCTAATTAAATTGTCTATCATCTCACCACTCTGTCCTAATTAAATCTGTCTATCATCTCACCACTCTGTCTAATTTAATCTGTCTATCATCTCACCACTCTATTAAATCTGTCTATCATCTCACCACTCTAATTAAATCTGTCTATCATCTCACCACTCTAATAAATGTCTATCACTCACACTCTGTCTAATTAAATCTGTTAATCAGCCTGCATTTACGTTATAACTGAGTGTAGATCATCACCCGCTACCTAACAGGTTTCTCGGAAGAACAAGAAGCTGTAATGATGAGATGAAAGGAGACTGACTGTTATATCAATACATTAATGAATGAGGCGAGGATGTATTGCTAAGTATTACAGTTCCTGGAATTTTATACAAACAAGGTAATGAGAATGAGATCACATAAAGAACATTACTGGCTGTTTGCGAGTTAGTAGTGCTTCGTATTACATTTCATGGAATAGTATGCAAGTAATAAGAAGAAACAAAGAAAATTACTGGTTTTAGGCGAGACAATATTGCTATTACAATTCGTGGAATATTAGGCAAATAGGATAAAGGGAAGTACACATAGCGAATATTACTGGTTGGATAGATTATTAATCATGTCATTGGCTGCTTATTGTAATGATGGCAACGTCAGTTTATACAAATACGTTAATCACTTCCCTGAAAAGGATTCACAGCGGCTCACTCAAAATGATAACCAAAGAGATCAGAATTAAACAATATGGATCGTTTCACTTACTCTGGTGCAAATTGAAGTCGAAAAAGGGCCATAACTCATCCAGTAGTTGGCGCATTTTAACCGAAATCGAACTTAATGGCATTATTGGATGTCACATACGAATCCAGTCCAACTGTCATAAAACAAGTTATCATTCCGATTCTATTTTTTTTTTTTATGATTACAGTTCTGCTTTTACTTGATCTTAGTTAATATTACTGGGTATATATTTACTAGATCTTAGGTAATATAAAATTACTGGATCTTTCCTGTGGGAGTGGGTTCGAATTCTTTTCTGGGAAACTATTAACGTGTAAATTGCCAGATAGAGAGAAAGAGAGAGGGAGAGGGAGAGGGAGAGGAGAGGAGAGGGAGATGGAGATGGAGATGGAGATGGAGATGGAGATGGAGATGGAGAGGGAGATGGAGATGGAGATGGAGAGAGATGGAGATGGAGAGAGAGAGAGAGAGAGAGAGAGAGAGAGAGAGAGAGAGAGAGAGAGAGGAGAGAGAGAAGAGAGAGAGAGAGAGAGAGAGAGAGAGAGAGAGACAGACAGAGAGGAGGGAGGAGAGAGAGAGAGAGAGGGAAGAGAGAGAGGGGGAGAAGGAAGGAGGAGAGAGAGAGAGGGAGGGAGAGAGGGAGAGAGAGGGAGAGAGAGAGAGAGAGAGAGAGGGACAGAGAGAGAGAGAGAGGAGAGGACAGAAGAGGGAGAGAGAGAGGAGAGAGAGAGAGAGAGAGAGAGAGAGAGAGAGAGAGAGAGAGAGAGAGAGAGAGAGAGAGAGAGAGAGAGAGAGAGAGAGAGAGAGAGAGAGAGAGAGAGAGAGAGAGAGAGAGAGAGAGAGAGAGAGAGAGAGAAGAGAGAGAGAGAGGGAGAGAAGAGAGAGAGAGGGAGAAGAGAGGAGAGAGAGAGAGAGAGAGAGAGAGAGAGAGAGAGAGAGAGAGAGAGAGAGAGAGAGAGAGAAGAGAGAGAGAGAGAGAGAGAGAGAGAGAGAGGAGAGAGAGAGAGAGAGAGAGAGAGAGAGAGAGGAGAGAGAGAGAGAGAGAGAGAGAGAGAGAGAGAGAGAGGAGAGGGAGAGAGAGAGAGAGATAGAGAGGGAGAGAGAGAGAGAGAGAGAGAGAGAGAGAGAGAGAGAGAGAGAGAGAGAGAGAGAGAGAGAGAGAGAGAGAGAGAGAGAGAGAGAGAGAGAGAGAGAGAGAGAAGAGAGAGGAGAGAGAAGAGGGAAGAGAGAGACCGAAAGACAGTGTCAAAGCAAAATGAGAGACAGAGGCAGAGTAACAAAAACAAAGAAAAAACGTAGGGAGGAAAAGAAAAGAAAAAAAAAAGCTTCAAGAAGAAGCAGAAGAAGAAAAGAGAAAAGAAGAGAGACAGAGAGAAACGACTTGCAGGACACCACACGGCTGGGCGAAGTCACCGAGGAAATTCATTTTGTCGCGAAAATATGAGAAAACTCCTTCAGAATTACGAGCAAACTTCCAGGAGGCACAAATCACTCGAAGAAAGTGTGGAAAATAAGGAGGGGAATCTTGAGGAATGCGCAGGAGGAGGAGGAGGGGGCAGGAGGAGGAGGAGGAGGAGGAATATGAGGGGGGAGGGAGAGGAGAGGAGGAGGGAAAGGAAGGAATATGGAGGAGAGGAGGAGGAGGAGGAGGAGAGGAGGAGGTATAGGAGGAGGAGGAGAAGATGAGGAGGAGGGAGGAGGAGAAATATGAGGAGGGAGGGAGACGAAGAAGTGGAGGGGATGGAGGAGGGGAGGAAGAAGAGAGAGGGGAGGAGAGGAGGAGGAGGAGGAGGGAGGAGGAGGAGGAGGAGAGGAGGAGGAGGAGGAGGAGGAGGAGGAGGGAGAAGAAGGAGGAGGAGGAGGTGGAGGAGAGAGGGAGGGAGGGGAGAGGGAAGGAGAGGAGGAGAGGAGGAGGAGGAGGAGGAGGAGGTGGGAGGAGAGGAGAAGGATGAGGAGGAGAGGAGGAGGAGGAGGGGATGGAGGGAGAGGAGGAGAATGAGGAGAAGGAGAGGAGGAGAAGGAGGAGGAGGAGTACTACTACTACTACAACTACTATTGGTATTAATAATGGTAATGACAAGTGTAATAATTATGGTAATGATAAAGATGACAATGATGGTAATGATAAAGATGATAATATTAAAGACGATACTAATATTAGTAGTAATGCTGCTTTTATCACATTTATAATGATAATGATAATAATGATAATATTTATGGTAGAATATAAAAACGTGGTAAAAATCTAAAGCAGACAAGCATACAACAAAAAGATAAATAAAAAATGAAACACTGACCTGATCCAACTAAGTTAAGTCTTCGTTTTATAGCAATATCTATATCAATATTAAATGCGTATACTCCACCATTTTTCTCCTTTTCCGTCTGCACCACTCCACCTCCCGATCACAACCACTCCGTCACTCCTCAGCTGATCACCATCTCACAACACAATAACTTCACATCAATCACTTCACTTTTCCCTACCTCCGTCACTCCACCACCTCTCCACCCTTCGATTTCTCCACCCCTCCACCTCTTCCTCTAACATCTCTTCACCATTCACTCCCCCTCACCTCTTCTCCATCTCCACCTCTCCACTTTCGAGCGCTCCACTCTGCCCTTCCCTTCGCGAAAGATGAAATTCCGTTTCCCTCAAAGAATAGAATAACATCAGTTCACCCCAGCAAGGTGTGGTCACGTGGCTTCGCTCCGGCCACGCTGTCCCACGCGCTCCAGGGGAACTTTGACCTTTCGTGGGCTGTGGGGGTGTATTTGATCTATCTCTAGTTTTATCATCTTTATCATATTGTTATTGTCTTTATTTCAATTACAATCACTGTTGTTATTGTTATATTACTAACAATGCCATTACTACTACTACTACTACTACTATTACTATATTGATGCTGCTACTGCTATTACTAGCAACAGTTCATACTATTATCATTATCATTAATGTTACTGTTATTATCATTATTACTATAATCGTTATTTCTAAGATTATCATTATAATGATGATTATTACTATTGTTATTATTAATAATATCATCATTAATATCACTATTATGACCATGGTAATAATTATTACAGTTATCTTTGTTACTGTTATGATTATGCTGATAATCATTACTATTATCATCATTATTGTTATCATTTTTCTATGATCATCATTACTACTATTACTACTACTACTATTACTATTATCATAATTATCCTTATTGTTATCATTATCATGATTAGTATCAATATTATCAGTTTTATCATTATGATCATTAGTATTATTATCATTAAATTTCTGATCATTATCATTATTCTTATTCTTATTATTTTATTACTATTACTATTATTATTATCATTATTATAATTATTTCTATTATCCTTCTTCTTATTGTAACTATTATTATTATCATTATCATTACTATCATCATTATCATTTTCATTATCATTAAGTATCATTGTTATTACTACTATTACTATCATTATTATTACTATTATCATATATTATCGTTATTGTTACTATTATATTATTATCATTATTATCATGATTATTATTATTAGAATTTTTATTTTCACTACTGTTATTATTATCACCATTATTATTATCATTATCATCACCAATCATAATGATAATCAGTAGTAACAGTAATAGATCAAATAAAAATCACATAAAAACACACATCAATACACAGACATATATGTTCATAACCATACACACATATATATGTGTATTTGTGTAAATAGGTTTGCTTATCGGTTAGTTTCCCATTCATATGGCATTCTCCCTTTCTCTGATGAATGAATAAAATCTACAAACTTCTCTATGTAGTATAGGAAAAGTTATGAATGTAAGCATACATCAAGAACAAAAAGAGCTTAACAAAAAACTTCATTGAGCAGCAGACCTTGATATCTGTTCTTTCTAGCTTTAAGTCTGTACTATTTATAATCCTAAAATGTCAAGGTTGAGAGGGCACACGACTGCGTGGGTGAGGCATATCTCATGTCACATGAATGGTGACAGATTCATTCATACTCTATATAAATTAAACGTCATAGTGTCTTTTTTCCTTTCTTTTTCAATTTGTTTTGGAAATCATTATGATCTAAAAAAATATGATTCTTGTGTTAGATTTAATGTTTACTTCAATAAGAATCTCGTGAATCCGAGACATTTTGGGAAGTAGAAATATTTAGGAAGCGTCGCAACTCTACGGGCGACACCGATGTTTTCACTACATCTCAGAATTCTGATATAATCCTCTCCCTTGGGCGGATCCAGACGGAAATGTCAGATGTTAAGTCTTGCTATTTCGGGAAATGCAGGTGATGCAAAGCCAGAAATAGCTTTCGAGACGTGGGAGGCAGATAGGGAATGCTGAAACATAATTTGTAAAAAAAAATCGTATAATTTTTTCTCTCACTCTCTCTCTCTCTGTGCCTCTTATGCATATGTATATATAAGTATGTATGTGTATATACAAATATTTATATGTATATATAAGTATGTATATGCATATTTCCACGTATATTGATGTGCATATAAGATATATATATATATTATATATATATATATATATATATATATATATATATATATAATATGTGTGTGTGTGTGTGTGTGTGTGTGTGTGTGTGTGTGTGTGTGTGTGTGTGTGTGTGTGTGTGTGTGTGTGTGTGTGTGTGTGTGTGTGTGTGTGTGTGTGTGTGTGTGTGTGTGTGTGTGTGTGTGTGTGTGTGTGTGTGTGTATGTGTGCATCTGTGTGTATCTGTGTGTGTTGTGTATGTGTGTATCTGTGTGTATCTGTGTGTGTGTGTGTGTGTGTGTTGTGTGTGTGTGTGTGTGTGTGTGTGTGTGTGTGTGTGTGTGTGTGTGTGTGTGTGTGTGTGTGTGTGTGTGTGTGTGTGTGTGTGTGTGTGTGTGTGTGTATGTGTGTGTCTATCTAATGCATATAACTCAGAATAAAAAGCAGAATGTAAACTCAGAATTCCGTGCCATAAAGATACTAATAGTTTAAGATACAAAGAGCTTGAAATAGATTTTTGTCTTGTTTTTGTCGACACTATTTCTTTTCT